CAGTGAGATGAGACAGCAGACCATGAAGGACTAGATTTGATCACAGGTTGAATGTTGATCATAGTTTATTTTGATTTGTTAAATCTTACTTATATATTAAAAAATAAATGTATCAGGACAGATGGCCATTAAGTGATCAAGAGGCCACTTTTTTTTTTTTTTTCCATTTTGAAAAATTTTCCTCTGGGGCTGAGACTTTCAGTATTTAAATCTATCAAATGTATATATACTGAAAAAAGGATTAGAGAACAGTGCTTATGCCACTAATAGCTGAACTGAAATCTGCATTTGTCTCTTAGTATAATTAAAATAAAACCAATTGTATCCTGTAATAAAGTAAAACTAGCATTTGAATAGGCTTCAGTTCACAGTTTAGATGCTAAAATGATCAGAATTCAAATTATTGTAATTAAGATGCAGTTGTTAATCCAAAATAAGCTAGTGAGCAGTGGAGGGTTTGTTTTATTTTTCCTTAACCATATATTTTTAGGCACACTTTGTGGTGGAATGCAATGCAATATGTGAAGAGATTTTACTGCACAAGTACCTTCGTCCCTTACATCCTACTCCATTCCTTTCTGTGAAATGCAAAAACCATAAATGTATCATCAAATTTATAGATTTCAGATAACTACACTAAAAAGCATGGGACGGAGAAAATACTTTACTCTTGAGGATTTTTGCTCTCTTGGGTTGCATACAGCCAGATTCATGATTACTAAGATGTTTTTAATAGCTCTATAGTCTGGTCCAGTTTTTTCAAAGGGTAAAAATGTACTTTTTGAAGTATTCACCTACCTGATATAAATAAAAACTTTCATGCAGAAAAATGTTTCCTAAATGGAAATTAATGCACCTCAAATATGTGAGAAATTTGCTTCTAATTGTGCAATGTTTAGTAACGGTTTCTTCTCACTTTTTCATTATGAAATTTGGGCAAACATATTAATGAAATCTAACATCAGTTTATCAGTCAATGCTGGAAACCAACAGATTCTCAAGGCTTCAATGACAATGAAGATCATATTTTTTAACAATCTGTTTTAGGAAAGTTTGCCTTGATTTTGGCTTTCAGTTAGTCAAAGTGATTTCTCACTACAGCCATGTTTACATTTGCAAATTTTGCATCTTGTGTGAATGGGCAGGAGGGCAAGAGGATTTCTGCTGTTGAAAAAGCTGCAATTCTTCCTAACTTAGTATCGGGAAGTGTACCTTCAACACATGTCAATATAATATTTTTCCCAACGCAACATAATGCCATAAACTTGCAGATATAATCTAGCATCAGTTAACGCCAATGGCTCCCTGTTGCCTGCACTTCTGCGTGATTCCACCTGCCTTTACAGCCTTGTCTCCACCTTCCCCAATGCACTGTTTTTGTATTGCCTAATAGGTCTTTGGACAAGCTCTTTTCTCCTCAAAAATGCCCTTCCCCTCCGACTCTCCTGTCACATTCCTGTTCAGATGTGCCTATTTAATGGGTTCTCTCCATATTCCCAGAAGAGTTCATTTCAATGCCCACTCCCTCACCCCCCATTTTTCCATGACATTTTTTACAAATGACAAGGTAATGTAACACTTCTGAGAGGCAATGTCTTGTAGAGGCTAAAGATGAGGAGTTGGAATATAGTATTTGAATTCTGGCTCTATCACTCTTTAACAGTGTGACCTTGGGCAAGCCACTTTAACTTCCAGGAGACTCAGTTCCCTCACCTACAAATAACAGTAGTACTTACATTACTGGTTTGTTGTGAATAAATGTTCCTAGCATAGTGCCTGTCATCGCATGGTGAGGACTTGATATGCTAGTATTACTATGAATGGATAAAGAGCAAGCCCAAAGATGGCAGATAAGCATATTATACTCTTGTTATGCGAAGAGTTAACTCTCAGAGTAGAATCTGAAAGTGCAGCCATCTTGAAATCACAGGGATTTCCTTTGAAAAAGCACATGAGGAACTGTCAAGCAGTGGCAAACAAAGAGTAAGCTCACACACACACTTTCAAAAGAGCTGACAAGGGCTGCTTTTAGGATAGCTCATCTTTGGTTGTGACACATGACAAATGAAAAGAAACTGGATGTTGAACAAAGCCAGGAATGGAAGGCAACATGGAGCTATGCCTTAATTTCCCTGCAAAGAGATTCTGTCTGGTGGTTTGGAGACTCCTAGAGCTACTTGTTACAAATTTGAGACATTTAGGCAGTGGAGAAAAACAGTCCAGTGTCAGTTTAGATGAGCAAATTTCAAATTGAGAGCCCACCTTATTTAAAATGTCTTTCCATTATTTTTCATTTGAAATGTGAAATAGTTCTGGAAAAAAGCAAAAAATTGTTATAGAATTCATTTCCTTCCAGGAAAGAAAATAGAAAAACAAAGCGCAACTACTGCCAGATGAACACCTTGTCTAAAACAAATGAGAGATTTAATGCATTGCAAAATGCCACTTGGAGGGCCTGCTTGGTGGAGAAAAGCATCCAAATAATATCTCCTTAAATGAATGTAACTATCCCCATGTGTATCGGTCTCAGACTAGAAAACTCTCTGGGTGTTTTCTTGACCAACTTGAAGAGAAAATTCAATTTACAATTCCTTGTTTTTAAATAAATCAAAAGCCATTGAAGGCAAAAAAAGTTAATCAAATGATCATTTACATCCCTTGTATTATGTGTTTCCAAAGAATGAAGAGAGAAAAAAACCTGCCCTTGCATTTATAGAAATTAAGAAAAGCATTTTGAGAGAGAGAGAAAGAGATTGAGAGAGAGAGAGAGAGAATGTGTTAATGCTCTTTGTTCAACTGTCCTGGGTTTTAAAAATTCTTGGATTGGCTTTTCAACTTGCAGGAAAGCAAGGTAGCAATTTTTCTTAAGGATCTGGCAGTGATGTACTCAAGTGCTTAGCTCTGTCCTCCTGGCAGGGAGACTGGATTGGGGTCGGGGAAAAGGGGCCACAAGTAACCAGGAGGAGAGGAGGCTGCTCAGAACCTGCTGTTCAGGGCTGATGGCAGCTTTTTACAAGCTGTATAAAAGATGAGTGTGGTGGCAGCAGCTTATGGGTGTGCCAAAGAAAATGAGTCCGTGTGCTAAACTCTGGCACATGCACGACAGGCTGCCAAGGCATGGCATAACCCTCAGGCAGACTTCTGATGTTCTCCCCCAGAAAGTGAGTAAGCCTGTTCCCATTTATTCCATGAGGATGGTGAGTGGTTGGATGTTTCAATGTTATCAGAAGTGCTGGTACAGAAATTTGCCATTTGGCTTACTTTCATTTAGTCATTTTTCAGATTAGAAACACCTGAGTGGAGAGGATCAGCTGTTTAATACCTACACCTATTAAGCCATGTAAGCAGTTGCAGAGTACAGCCCATTCCAGGGTAAGCACGCAATGCTATCTGATCAAATTTAGGTTCTATGTTAATGAATGAAATATATGAAATAGGACACTTCCTTATCTTTCCATATAAAAGAGTTCCTGCAAAGGTCTGGATGACAGAACATAATGTATGTTTTATTTTAATCCCTTTTCTATTTTATTCTCTCTCCTAAACTGTAAACAATTGCTGGGGTTTAGTTAAGCTTAAAAAGTGGACCATATAATTTCAGATTAAACTTCTTAAATTCACAAGAAACTCAGTGAAAAATTGCTCCTTTATTTCTTTTTACAGCTTCTACTCTCCAAACCCACAGCATAAGACCCCTGGTTCTATACAATTTATCCAAAGGTTTGAGCAGGTCAAGAGCCCTTTTACCCTTCACTAGAGAATTCAGTGCTATTGTAGGAGAAAGACATTCTTTTCTTCCCTTTTCACTTAAAGAAACACACTAAACCTGAATAGACTCCAGGCTAGTTTGGGGGAGGAGTGATTTTTATTTGTCTAGCATAGATATTGACATATGCTTGAAGACAGTATCTAAAAAGAAAGAAGAAAGGAAGATAGGAAGAACGGAAGGAAATAAAGTGCTTTAATATGCCATTAAAGGGCACATTGGTAACAATTTAATTTCTAAGAAGAAAATTTTATAGAATAAAATGGCCTAACATTTTTTTCTTTATCACACATATGAGAAATATAAACTAAAAGGACATCTGGAAACTAACATTATTCAGCAATCAGAGAGCAAAAATCCAAGCATTGATGTTTTGATGGAGACAAACATAACAAGATTCACAAAGAAAGCTGTAACTTATTGAAGAAAAAAAAAATTCCATATGCATTTTACCTTTTGGGCAGTTCCATAGCAAAATTCTATTTCAGAAGCCCTTTGTAATATGAAACTCACTGTAGATAAGATACAACATGAAGATAGTCTGTTTTGCAGCAGCAGGAAATCAAATTGGTTCCAGAAACTAAGTTACATGACAAATGGTTTAATAGTATTGCTAGGATTGGAGAGCTTGATTGAATTATTTTCATAATCATTAAAAAAAAGGATTTTGAAATAACTTTGCCGTAGCTGTTTGGGTTTTTTTTTTTATGTTGCAGAGGTGGGAAGACTCTAATTTTATTGGCCTTTTAACTAAAATGTTATAATTTGTTACCAAAATTTAAGAGCTCACTGGTGATTTGTTGTTTGCTTGCAACAAAAATTTTCAGACACAATACTTGATTTAACACAGTTAATATATGTTATTGAGGATTAAACAGGTTAACAAATACAGAATATTTATTATCATATCTAAGTTATTTTTAGTTTTAATTTCAGTAGCAATCAGCCTTGCTTTATTTAAAAAAGCATCTGGAAGAGGTTCATTAAGTCTTAGGGCAGTCTTGTATTTTAGGAAAGACTTCCAAACAGTAAGATGTATCACTGACAAAATAACCCAGCGACTAATACCCGTAGGTGAAATGAAAACATTCTCCTGACTGAAGTCAGGAACAAGTTAAGTATCACTTAGACCACAGCACACGACTACAGAGATTTAGGAGAAATCACACTTAAATAGGATGTGACTAGACGTTTAGGACTATTTTCAGAAAACTTTTTCCCCTTCAGTACTTACAGTCTTTGAAGACGAGAGCCGGGTCTCTGTGAGGCAAGACTTGGGCAATGATGTGTCTCAGGGATTCCAAGGTTCTGTCCATCTTGGGTCTGCCTGTGTGAGCCTACTGCACAGTGTCCTCATGCCTGAATTCTTGCAGTCCTGGACTGAATTTGTGCAGCTCATTGATGCACAGGATTACCAAAGAATCCCTTTTAACATCTGCCAATCAGACATTTCCCAGAATCTAAAGACCTCTCAGGGGGCCCTCCTCCCAGGCTCACTTATCTTTGTTGTATGCTGAGCTAATTAGCTCTAAAGGCTGGCTGACAGGCGGGTTCCCATTGCTTCCTTCTGTTAAACACACCCACCTACAGGCTAGCTGGGGAAGCTCGCTAATCATGGGACCAGCTTTCCTCTCCAACTAGATTTTGCCTGAATGGTGTACAGCTTTCTGACTTGGCTATTTCTTTTGGTCCTCTACCTTCAAATGCGCTGTGCCCAGTATAAAATCAAGAAGGTTATTTCTCAAGGAAATTACTTTAGTAACAAAGGAATTTCCAGTTAAGAATTAGTACAATCTAAATTCTTCTTTGGTAAAGAAGTGCTATAAAGATTATGGGTTATGCTGAGTGAAGTAAGTCAATCAGAGAAAGACATGTATCATATGACCTCACTGATATGAGGAATTCTTAATCTCAGGAAACAAACTGAGGGTTGCTGGAGTGGTGGGGGTGGGAGGGATGGGGTGGCTGGGTGATAGACATTGGGGAGGGTATGTGCTATGGTGAGTGCTGTGAAGTGTGCAAGACTGTTGAATCACAGATCTGTACCTCTGAAACAAATAATACATTATATGTTAAAAAAAGAAAAAGAAGATATCAGGAGGGGAAGGATGAAGGGGGGGGAATCAGAGGGGGAGACGAACCATGACAGACTATGGACTCTGAGAAACAAACTGAGGGTTCTAGAGAGGAGGGGATGGGAGGATGGGTTAGCCTGGTGATGGGTATTAAAGAGGGCACGTTCTGCATGGAGCACTGGGTGTTATACACAAACAATGAATCATGGAACACTACATCAAAAACTAATGATGTAATGTATGGTGATTAACATAATAAAAATTAAAAAAAGATTTATGGATATCGTCAGGGACCAGATTATATATATTTTTTAAATATTTATTTATTTATTTATTTATTTATTTATTTTTTAAAGATTTTATTTATTTGACAGAGAGAGACACAGCAAGAGAGGGAACACAAGCAGGGGGAATGGGAGAGGGAGAAGCAGGCCTCCCACCGAGCAGCGAGCCCGATGCGGGGCTTGATCCCAGGACCCTGGGACCATGACCTGAGCCGAAGGCAGACGTCCAACGACTGAGCCACCCGGGCGCCCCCCAGATTATATTTTCTACTTGAATTCAGGAGCATCTCTTTGGGAACCAAGTTTAAATTTCTTCCCCCTCACCCAAGTTATGGTAACTTCTGATGGGTAGTGGCAAGTAAAACTTTGTGCACTGTCTTTTGGCTTGCCTGGGAATGTTGGTTTTCCTATTAATCCTTCAAGGCAATCATTCTCAGGATTGAGTTTAGTGAAATCTGATATCACTCACTTCCTTTCAGTTCATGGTAGCTCTTTCTATTAAAATTTTCAAGAGAAGCAAAAATATATTTTTCAAAAGAATATAGTTACTAAAATATCTTAACAGATTTTAATAGATTTCTCTACTTCCCATACCACTCACAACAAGATTAAATAGTTTTTCCACAGGAGACATAAATATAAGTCATGGGATTCCATTGTAGTAATTAGGATTTATACCAGATATAAAAGAACAGATCTTAATGGCTGTGATCTATGTTAGTTATTGAAGACTTGTTGAAGACTACTCTACTTTTACTTAAAATATTTTTCCAGAGTAGGCACAAGAGAGTGCTCTCCAATGTTCTTTCCAATTTTCAGATTCCATAATTATGTTGTATTATATGATTAACTGAAAACAGTTCTTTAAAGACAATATAAAAGTAAAATGTTTTGCATATGATAGGCTTCTTCAGCTAGTTGGTAGAAGGGTGGGCTTAATAAAAGGAAACAGAAGAAATGGGGCTGTAATAATAATTCTAATCATGACTATTAGTTAGTAAATGCCCACAGGGAGTATATGTTATACACAACAGAGACATGGGGCTGCCCCACTGTGCAAAGATACTATTAAAAAGAAAAAGAACTTGAAAGAAGTAGCACTTTATGTTAAGACACTTATTTAGGGTCCCAACGTGTACTTTACATAGGCTGAGCCAAATAAGAGATCATCAGTATCCTTGCCATTCATGAGTTTATAATTTAAAAGAGAAACTGCCATTCATGAGTTTATAATTTAAAAGAGAAACTAGATGGTTTGTAGACAAAAAGCCTATTATTATACAGTGATTGGACACAATGTATAAATGAATGCAAGTACTTTCAGTGTGATACTAAATTGGAAACCAAGATATTTAAGGTTCCCATTAGAGAAACAAGAATTCTCAAAGGAATGAGACTGATCATATAAAAATTGGTTGATGCTCAGATTTCAATCAATAAATGGACTTTTTGGGACGCCTGGGTGGCTCAGTCGGTTAAGCGTCTGCCTTCGGCTCAGGTCATGATCCCAGGGTCCTCGGATCGAGTCCCACATCGGGCTCCTTGCTCAGCAAGGAGCCTGTTTCTCCCTCTGCCTGCCTCTGTCTCTCTCTCTCTCTGATAAATAAATAAAATCTTAAAAAAAATACATTAAAAAAATAAAATAAATGGACTTTTTATGGGCATAAATTTAATTCTAGCAGTACATAAAAATATTTTGGTTGTTTTGTGTGGTGGAACACTGAATTTTATATTAGTAAGATCTAGAATTTGATTTTTGTTACCTGTATAACTTTGAAGAAGTCACTCATCTCTGGGCTCAGAGTTCTCATCTAGAAAATTTGGGGGCTGAGTAGGATGTTTTCTTTCAGATCTAACATCTATGATTCTGTGGCTATACTACAAATGACCACAAATATTATCACACATTTTCTAGCCTTTTACAAAGTCATACACTTGTTTCCTAAAAGCTGGACTGGTCTTTAAATAGATCACTTCTAATTCCACAGTAAACCTCATATCCTTTCAAGAATATGAGAGACACAAATTATAGGGTGAATTCAAAGATACTCATCACTAATGTTAATTCAGAGTTTGTTAAGAAAATTAATCTTAAACTTCCCCAAGATTTTTCTAAAGAAGGCAAACTATAAGAGTCTGCTTAGAGAACCCCAAAACAGCTTTGCAAAGATAATTCTATAAAAATATCATGATCTTTACTGAGTTATATTTTAAGAAATGAAAAAAGAATTCTAGAAAGGGGACTGTACAACATTCCAGTTGGAATAGTAGTTTCTTCTTTCGGATCAGGTCCAAAGCTTCAGCAGAAATTTTCCAAATCCTCTGCTAAACATTTCTTCCCCTTGTCCACCCATAAAGACTTCTCACCCTAGAGTTCTGATGTAAGACATAAAAAACCAAGTCAGTGGTTTCTCACTATTCTCTTCAATGCAGAAAGTACCTGAAGGAGATGGAAAAGCTTAAGAAACCCCTATGCAATATGTCTATTTCATACAGATTCTATGGTTCACATGCTAGATTTCACGGTCAACCTCAACCATCTGTAGGCCTATGCCAAAAGAAAAATTCAAGTATTAAAACAAGGGTAGATGACTACAGTGAAAACCAAAATGTTGTCTTCACACATCCTGTTAGAGTACTACCCAGAAGTGTGAGAAATGGCATCCAACTGACATACCTAGTATTCAAAACTTATTACCCAATGGTAAAAGAGGAAGGCTCAGGGCAACAGCATACTTACTAAGCTTCCAGGGAGTACAGAACTCTGAGAATGTAAGAAATCAAGGTGGTATATTTTGCACCATTTCATGCACAATGCAACAAAAAATCTATGGAAACAATAATTTTGCTGGCAAGGAAAAGAAAATTCATTCCTATCATTCCAGTGACATTTTTGTTATTAAGTGGCTCATTACAGGCACAAAAAGGGTAAGGAAGTGGGGGTCACCAATTGAAATAACATCCAGCATGTTAAAACACATAATAAATACATCAAAGAATCATCTTTAGTTAAAAACAGGAAAGAACCTCCACTTTTCTCCTTGCCTCCCCACTTCATGATCTGCTCTGTCCCAGAGGAGGAGGCTGGAATAGGTAAACCAGGAGAATGGGCCTATAGGTGAGGCTGAGAGGGTGAAATTCCAGGCGTGCAGGCATGCAGACTCCTCAAAGAAGAGGCCTGCAGTAACTGAGCCTGAGCCAAGTCATGGCTACTCGTCTCTAGGAACCAAGTGACTAAGGGATGGAGAAAACAGATTGAAATTTAGGAAGATTATCTTCTCTGAAACTATTTCTTCACTTACTTGCTAATGTTTTAATTTTTAAAAATTTACAATTTGAGATAAAGTAAATACAATGAAAAAGAATTAAAGTCATGTAGTTAAGTAGAGAGAGTATATCCTTTACAAAAACAATGGGAAATGACTGATAGCAGCTCCTTCCAGATTTCAATGGGAGATAGATGAAGGGAGCTAGAAGGGCCTAAGAGCTGGATTGGCAAAAGAGGGTCAGGGCTGTGAGCAAGACTGTTTCTAAGGGTATGTCGGAGGGTGAAGAAGGGCAAGGCCAGGAAGAAACTGACTTTGCAGAGGTAATGACTAATGACTGTTTAGTGTCAGCTAAACAAAGCTGAAGAGACCAGTAGGAAGAATGAACGGCTGGTTAGCATCAACTTTGTTAACTTTCAACTGGGAAAGGACCAATGAGATGTTTGAATCGAGGTATTTATGAGAAGGTCATTTAGAAAGGCAACTTCAGACAAATTAAATTCAAAAGACACAGGTAACATAAGATAACTTTATCTCAGACATTTTTACCTTGATATTTCACTACATTTAGGAAATCATCAATAAGCACTAATCTAACACAGGAACAGATAATTAGAAAATTGATTAATATCCAATTTATAGTTTAAAAGAATGTATATCTCCTTTCATACAATATTACAAAAAATGCTTTCTTAAAATAATATCCCTCCCCACCGGATAAAACTGCTAGTGAACTGCTCTTTATCCTTGTCAGGGCAGTCAGAATCAACACTCTTAACCAGAAAGCACAATGAAAGTATACCTGTTTATCTGAACCTTCTGTTATTATATATTATATATATTTGGGGGCCTGAATGAGCCCATGCCATCTTGACTGTTTTAAGTAAGCAATTACGCAGCCCTGTCTTGGTATTTGGTCTTGGAAGAAAAGTAAAAATTGATTCTTTAAGAAATACTACAGAGGCCAAAGATCTCACCAGAGGAG